CATGCTTAAGACTATTTTGGACTACTTGTGTATAGTACGGAATAGAAAAGGCTGATTAAACACCCATCTCTAGCAAGCTTCGTATAAGCAGCTGCGTATAAGTGCTATGAGTTTCGTTCTACTTCGAATCAGGTCCCGCTTTTTATGTCGAGTGATTCAAATCGCGATGAAGTGATTAAGATGTAAACCTCTAGCTTAATGCGGTATGAGTAAATCAACTGAAAGAGTACAGGGCTTCTACATATTATCCGGGTAGAAACTACTAGGTATCCTAGGATACCTAAGGTAGATAGCCTTATTCTAGGCATCGCGACGACATTTAGAGGTGCCTACTAGTTAACGTAGTTTCACGAGGCAGCCAAGGTGATACATGAAATAGGTAGGTAAGGCAGGTAAGGTATAAACTGGGGGCGTGTGCCCAAATGCGTAATTCATCTACTGTTATTGGCCAACAGCGGAGAGGCCGTTTCGGTGTAAGGGGACATGATATGAGTGGCAGACTGAGATGTGAAATAAAGTAGTAACCCAGGGAGGACACATTAGGTGCTGTGCCTACCTAATGTATAGGTAGTAGGTACCTAGGTATCAACTAATCGAGTGCCTACCTATCTTAGAAGTGGATATCGCAACTTATTGCGACGGTGCACTATGAAATCACTCAAGTGTATTCGAGTAGAAATGTACTCTAGGTCAAAGGTTTCTATTACATAGGTACTTAAAAAGGTCTAGTACCGTGGATAGTTGGCTTTGATATTCAAGTCTGGTACATTACTGATTCCAGAGGGCTGTTCCCCGTCTGAGCCGGGAACCTTACGGATGCGGACTAGGGTTTCTCCGAGCCAATCAGGATGCGTTTAGCCTTGCACAGAAAGCCAAGCACCACTGAATAGCGCATGGACTTGACTGTATCGGGAAGTCTAGGGTGTCTTGCTGTTTAATTGTTGCCAGGACGCTGGTCAAGAAAATCTCATGGTGATATGAGTGAGCCTTCAAATCAACCCTATTCTTACAACGCTCTCACCTTCTAAAAACAATACCAAATCCGGATGGCTTGTTCGTCAATGTCGATACTTGTTTTTATGTCTACCCTTTTTTCTCGCCAGCTTTTACTTGGCTAATAATTTTGACATCAATCCCAACCTTGCCTTCATTTTTCTTACCAACACACAACTGACTGACAAGGCAAACTTTCATTACTGACCCAGAGTAATACCTTTTCTCTCGAGTTTTTCTTACAATACCTACATCCTGACCATTACCAAGGATTTTTTTCTAGTTCTATTTGGTTCATTCATTCCATCTTTTATCATAGCAAGCCGTTCCCTTACTGTTTTCTGTCCAGTTCACTGCCAAGACGCCTCGCGTTGCAGTATATCATACACCCTTCTATTATTGTACCCTTACTCTTCAAATCTACTCATCGTTTCCTAACATCATTCGTCACAATGGGAAGCACACCCAAGACTGGCCAATCCCCGGCAGCAAGTCCTGCGAAGGGAAAGGCCGTCGCGACTAAGAAACCCCCCGGAAGAGGTATCACCAAGCGAACTGGACGCAAGCCCGTCGCTGCTAAGAGAGGCAACCGTGGCAAGGGACGCGGCCAAAAGAAAACCTACAACTGTGACCGTACCCAAGCAGCTTACGAACGCCAAAGAGAGTTAAGAGAACTCTACTCAACCGTATCTATGGCAGCAAAGCCGGCTCTCGATGAGCTCGCTGATAGGTCCCTCAAGAAGCTAATTGAGGACCCCGACTCTCACAAAGAAGTAGCCGAATACCTAGAAGTCCAGCAACAGCTAGATGCTCAGCTTGAATACAATATTCAGCGATTTGACACTGAGCTGCGTGCACGAACCGGTATTACGGATCGCACCTATGAGCTCGACCACCATTGGTCGCAGCAGAAACTAGATGTATGATCCCTCATTCTTTCACCATATACAACACCTCTCCCTCTCCCTTCCCTGTACAACTGCTACTATTATATTTCAACACTTACTAACATCCACCTCAGGATTCCTTCGATTACCAAACGGAAGAATTCTTAGACGGTGCTCTGAATCGCGCTAGCATTCTAGATGAGCTCCGCCGCGAAGGCTGGCCGCTTGATGTAAGTTAACTCTTCACTGTTCTTCTTACTTGAATACCAAGTCTAATAACCCCTCACAGACCCCAGACCTTACTTACGACTACGTCGAGAATATACCAAATGTCTCGTTCGTTGATACTGAGGATCGTACTCGCAAGGCAAAGCCTGCTACTAAGCGAAAGGCCGAAGGCCAACCCGATGGGCAAGGCGACCCTAAGAAGCTACGACATACCGGTGGCTTGCTTGCGTCAGAGATGCAGCCTGATGGCATGCCGGAGTCCAATGCACCGTCTCCAACGCCACTCGAGGAGCAGGATACCGCGTTTGCCCCCAAGAAGGGGCTTCCGGATATTCCTAATGGCGCGACTGAACCTGATGACTGGGGCGTTATGAGCGTAGACAGGCGGGCCAAAAGCCCTGCGAATCGGTTCATTATTCCGCAGACCTTCCAGTTCGATGACGATGAGATTGGATTCCGAGATTCTACGAACGACTCGACTAGGAAGGCAACTCGAGCCTCGCGAGGTATACTCCTCAACCAGCCAAACTCTCGGCACTTCCACTTTGACCATACGGTCAAAGACTACGATTGTCGCCAGTATAAAGACGGCGTCTTAGATCCAGAAACTGTAGAGAAGCACCAGCTACACCCCAAGTACGGTTTCTTCTTGCCTGGTTCTGTCAACGAGGCAGAATCACCGGATGAGCATGTCGACGGCACACGACCTGTGGTCGTCGTACCAGACCGAGACACTACTAACCACGCATCTCGCTCGGTTCGAGCGAAGAAGATGGATTCCATGCTCAAGGAGGACAGCATTAAGAGCACCATGGGATCGATGTTAATGGCTTTCTGTGAGGAGGAAGACATCAACCAGGAGAGTGTCACGACCGACGAAATGCGCGATCGTGAGCGCCAGGCGCGTGAGAGGCTTGCTGTTCCTTTGGATGATGATGATGATTATACGGAGGAGTTGGATCACCCTCAGCCCATTGAGGTCGACGAGTCTGTGTGTAGTGGAAACATAGATCTCCTGCTACAAGCTGCCGAACACCAGGAAACCGACGAACAGACCCCCCCTGTCTCGGATCTACGACCGTCCCGCCCCTACGATGCGGTACGAGATGTATTCACAAATACAGAACCGGCTCCTACCACCGCAGGCCAGTCCTTTGAAGATAGCACCGATTCTCTTTCTATTCTTGCGGATGCGGCCGAAGCAGTTTCTCATCCTCCGATGCTAGACCCCCGGCTCTTTGACTCGTCACTACCACCGCCCAACAACTTCCTACAGACTGCGTTGAATCCTACCTCAGCATTTGCACATATAGCGCCAGCTCCTGTTGCCCAGATGGAAGTAGGACAGCAAGCTCCGCCTCCGAGAAACCCCTTCACGAACCATAGGGACAGCCCGGTTCTTCCCCCTCTACGACCTAACAGGTCAGACGGACTAGGAAAGGGTCCAAACATACCACCGCCGCAGCAACAGCCGCCTCCACCACAACACCGACCACAAGAGTTCGGTTCTCCACGTGGCATAATTCAGACGAATTCGGGAAACTTCTACCCCCCTGCGCCACCGCGTCCATTCCACCAGGGCCATTCGTGGCAGGAACCGCCTGCGATGCCGATGCCTATGTATCCAAACCAGATCATGCCCGGTCACAGCATGACGATGATGGCAAATGAACCTCACCTGTCCCATCAGATGATGCCTTATTATCCCATCTTGTCTCCACCCCCTCCCCATGGACAATCCATTCTGGCTCCGATGGCAGGGCATATGGAGGTTCCCGCGCCTTCGGTATCACCACCAGGTGGACTCATGATGATCCCTTCGCCGCCTAATGGTACGCCACGTCAGAGAGGATCGGTATCCTCAAATGGCAACGGGTCTGGAAAGTATCGTAAGATTGCAGCGGCGCCAGTCCCTCACAACCGCCCCTGGCCATCTAACGGTGGCACCGAACTACGGCTTGCCCACTACGACCACAAGGAGGCCATCAAGGACTACAGAGCCAACGAGCCGCCCCCGCGAAGCGGACCTACTACGATCCGAGGCTGGAGCGTCAACAACGTGTCCAAGAGTCGCAACAGAGGCTTGAAGAAGGAGGATTCCGAAGAGAAGGAGTCCCCGCAGTAGGTCATCGAGACCACATACCTCAAGATCTCATATTGATGAATATGACTTCAGTGCGATACCCCCTTACTTCACCAAATGGAACGCCTCGGAAAAGAACCGAGACGGCTATACCTAATTACACATCCCGATAGACCCCTAAGGATTTCTCATACCAGGAAATGAGAACCCACGCTGAAACGAGACGGAAGAACATGAAGGACGACTCATCATACCACGAAATTTGCTCATGATATCCGGCACCAGGTGCATATACCTTTACTCTTTTTTCTTGTACTACCACCTTTACACCTTATTACTTTCTTGTTCACCCCTGGATACAAGCATCATAGCATCACGAAGGCAGCATCGAGGAAAATGTTTTTTTTTTGCTAGGATATGATCCTGCGCCAGATGATTGGCATTTGCAGGCGGAGTTGGAGGTTAGGAAAATTGTTTGTTTGTGCTCTCTTGCACTACGCGCATAGCCTTGTTTGCTACGGGCCTCCCTTCACATGAGGAGGATACCCAGATAGATACCACGAGCAGCGTCGTCCGGTCCATGATTAATGACCGTAGATATAATTGAAACCCGCACATACCCCCTAATCTTCTATGTAACTCTCTCATCCATGCAGTCAGTGACCTTGTTATGTGAATGTGAATCCCACTCAAGTGCTCTAGGTAAATCTAGCTGTTACTGGTGTCCCCAGACTCCCGTCATAAGGAACTATATAGGAAGATACTAACAACACGCCTGATATTAACTAATGATCGATTCCCTTTAATAGAGCTTCATGGCGTAGTGGAAGCGCGCCGGGCTCATAGTCCGGAGGTCCTCCGATCGAAACGGAGTGGAGTTATTGTTTTCGGGGATAATTCTTTCGTATTTGCCCGACACTTACATGGGCACTCTTCCCTAGTAAACTTGTACTTACGTAACTCAAATGCGACTTGTATACGATTTGGGTATACATGTCTCACTGATCTCTATAAAACCTCACGAGCAACAGCAGTCAAGTTATTTTCTTTTCTTCAAAACACACGTATTTAGTAGCTTCATGAATCATCTATGGCTATTGTACAGCATAGTTTTTTTGCTCTCCTCTAGTTTGTTTTCGTGCCAGATCGTGAGTAAAGCCAAAGCCAAAGCAAAGAAAAAAAGGAGAAACTGAGCGGCGTCGATTTCGTCCACTTGCGTGGCGAGGGTATTTCGACCCAACAACTCTTTTGCATCGCGTGCCCTCCCCGAATATTTCTGCCGCCAAGCCCCTCGAGGAAGTCGTTACGGAACCACCAAAACCACCAAGACTTGTCCTGCCTATTGAGACACGGAATGCACTCTGAAACGCCCCAAATTCTTTCCCGCCAATGTCCAACCGCAATGGAATTCCCTCCGCTATCATCACGCACGCATACTATTACATCCCAGGCATCATAAGACCGGCCTGGTCCACGGGAAGCATCTGCGATGGGTCGACTTGGTCCAGTGGCAGCATGGGACTCGTGAATTCTAACTGGGCCCTGCCGAGGTTGCCCACGGGATGAAGCGGGTACATCTCGGCTTCCATCTTGTCTCCGTCGAAGACGACCATGTTCTGGATCGGCTGCTGGCGCTGGCCACGGACGTTGATGACGTCTTGAGCCAGCTGCCCTCCAAGGATTGCAGTCACGGGCGCAATCTCACTGCCGACATTCTGTAAGAAGCTGCGTAGGAACTCGGAGCGGAGGGTCTCGGTCGGGAGAGATAGTAATTGATGGTTATGCGTAGCGGCTCGCGTAAAGATTTCCAGGTCCTGCTTGTTATGCTCGGGGAAACGATCGTTATGCGCTTGTTGGAAGGCCCAGAGCGCACGCAGGCAAGATAGTGCCGGCGTGACAGCCTTGAGACGACGCTTAGATTTGAGGTACTCGGGAGGCAATATGCTTGTCTCAGAGGCGAGGTCCCAAGTCGAGTACAGCTCACGCTTCTGAACCTTCTCGATGCTCTTGCCGCCCTCCTTTTGAGTTTCCACCTTAATGATGCTGCGAGTTCGGGTCTCCGGACCGATATTCGTGGGCACATTAGACTTGTCTCGCTGCACAACATAATCGTGCTCGATTAGATCGTTAAAGATATATCCATAAAAGCCGTAGGTACCGGCTGCATAAAATTGACGGTTGTGAAGACGGGTGGCGGTGTTGATGAAGGCAAGGAGGGTGGGGCTGAGATCTGTGGCGATGACGATATCAAAATTGCCGAAAAAGGACGCGCCTTTAGTCATGATACTACCGGAGTCGGCAACCACCTTCACTCTAGGATTCAGCTTCTGGATTCGACCGACAGCTGCTTCAGCACGACTTTGGCCAATATTCTCCTCCGAGAGAAAGAACTGGGCCCCTAGATCGGCTTCTGTGACCTTTTGGTCATCGACGACAGTTAGTGAGCCGATGCCTGCTAAGACGAGATTCTTGGCAATCTCGTTCGCCAGAGCCTTCATGGTGATGAGGACAATGTTGGCGCTCTGAATCTTCTGCTGTGCTTCCATGCCCCACAGCCTAAGTTGGCGATCGTAAAGAGCGATATCGTCTAAACATAGCATTAGCAAGGAACCCAGGCGAGTGAGCAAGGGGATCATATACCTTCGCTTAAACTATTGCTATTGCCGTTAGTTGGCTGACCGATGATAGAGTCGTTGAGACCCATTATCTGTTGATTCGGAGGTATTATTAGGCCTGGGTTGGCGAACGTGCCGTTATTATAGACTGGTTGTTGGAGCGCAGCAAAAATACCGTCGGGGTTGGGGAATACTGGAAGGCCGTTGCCTGGCATAGCATGCTCAGGTTGTAAGGGCATTCCAGGAGTCTCGGACGGACGTGTCTCTTGCCTAGCGGTTTTGCCATCTTGAGTCTGCTGATTTGTCGTCTCAGGCTGTACCTCCCCTGGACCCGTTTGCTGGGTTGGGGCAGCGGCGGGTTGGTCTTGAGTCTCCATATTTGATGATGCGTTAATGTTCGGAGTGTAAAAGATAGGTAGGCATACGACAATGAGACGAATAGGAAAAGACGAGTTCTAAATTAAAGATAATTTAGGTTTAGTTCCGGATGAGGCTGAGATGGTGTGAAGTTCACGGACTCGTCGACTTTTGCGGTGCGGCTGAGATGAGAGATCCAAGTGACGATATGAAGATGAGAAGCTTACGCGCAGCGCGTCACCTCCTTACTTCTTTGGATATCTTATTTTAAATAGGTGTCTATTTGGGGGGTTAGGTATCAGGAAGAAATAGAATATTGGCTTAGGAAGCCTACGATATGACCACCTCGCCCTAGCCCTTTGTCGTCTAATGTTGCACGTTAATAAATAAAGTGTTTGATGGAATGAATGGATGTGATTAAATGTGATGAGCCCCCAGCCTCGTCCCAGTGAGGTAACACTACAGGCATTAACGTGCTAGGTTGCCTTAATTCGATTGTGGGCTACTTCCTAGATAGTAGAATAAACCCCGTTATCGGTGGAGCTGAGGCTGATGGAGAACCGATCCGGCCCGATATGCGCATAAGAGTTGCTCAACTACATCATTTACCCATTTAGGTACCATACCGACCAACTGGGAACTGATACCTTGTCCTTACACTGAATCATGATTGGCGACATCGTTGGAAAAAGAAATTGGAAGGCTACACGGAGGGTGTGAGACAGGATCTGAATACAGGTCAACATCCTCCAGTCCGGGAGGGACATAGTACGCGAGCACCTGCACGGGCTGTGCAGGTTGGTATGAGTTAAAGTGGTACTTGAGGCATCACGCAATCTTGTATTGGTGAAACCGTATATCTTAGCATTTTCTTTCTTTCATCGGGTAGGTCACCTAAACTTTTGACCCCGCCTACCTAACTAATTTGTATGGGAAGTAACGCCTTTAACTGAACCAATGCCCTTTCACACCTTCCACACACCACACACCACATCCTACGGCCGCATGTCCATTTCCATTTCCATTTCCATTTCCATTCTTATTCCCAAGGATTTCCCGTTCCTTCTTCCAACTATAACTCAGTATTGATCGTCCTGACCACCTGTTCATCAATCTGACCATCGTCAACCTGCGCCGTATTCGAGGAATAATTTCTTATTGTAGTTTTATTTCGTCACTACTCTAAGCATAATTATATCCACTACCATCTAAAGTGCCGTCTTATCTTCAACTTATATATACGTCCAGATCCTTTGTCTCTTCATGGTAAGTCTCAAATGCGCCCACGTACATTGCGATCGCAGCCTCTGCAATCTGTTCCCTTTAATTTTTTTAAAACCCAAGTAGCAGTGCATGTTTCAATCCGTAGGTAATCTTGAACATATTGGCATCATACTGATTATCGCACCATCCGATAGTCGGGCGATTATTCCGAGCAGTCCCCGTCAAGTCCAGGACCTTATCGCACCGCCGACGAGATAGTACGCTCCATACTCGATGCTGATGTTTCGTCTTCGGATATCAGCCCCTCGGGAGAATTGTATCGGGCTATAGAGAGGTATTATCCTCTTAACCCTCGTCCTCCTAACAACGGCCAGCCGGCTCCCGTCAGGAATCACCGCCTAAGTCAACGTTCTGCGTGGCGGAACAGCATGCCTTTCGAACTTAACGGGGAGACGCAACGAAGGTTCTCGAGGGAGCCGCAGGGTTCTGATGCATCACCTCTCTACAATTTGCCGCCCTCCGGACCTTATCTGCCACCATTGCGATCATTAACAAGTACGCGACGGCCCTCGAATATGTCTACCCCTGGTGGATTGGGAGGTCGCCATGCGCGACCACGTCATTCAGATCGCTACTCAGCACGAGTTCGAGGCACGCTTGAGAACCGAGGTGAAGCCAACGAGGAAGCCGGGGAGTTTTGGAATGGTATCGAACCCTTCGACCGAGGCTTACGTGGGACTACTCGGCGCTCAGCCATATCTCAAATCAATCACTCACAACCTCCGTTGGACGAGGACCGTTTCCGAGAGGAATCCAATTCTCAACTACGAGCGCTCCTGGATTTTACTAATTCCCCTGGCAACCCATACTCTGACCTTGCATTTTCGTCTCCGCCTCCACCGCCACCGCCACAGGATTCCGCAGAGGATAACCGACGAGTCAAGAGACGCAAACTGGACTCGGATCGTTTAGCCAGCGGCTTTCAGGGCTTCCGATACGGGAAGTATGGTCAGGTGGAGCCGGGTCAGCTGACCATGGAACTGGTAAGCTGCGACGGTGGCATCTATTCAGATGATGGCCAAAAGTATGCCGCCGACAACATTCTCAGGAATGATCAGACGGTTTACTGCACAGAGGGACCGAGGTGCAATATCATCTTGAGGCATCAAGGTGCCACAGTCTTCACACTGAAGGAGTTGGTCATAAAGGCGCCTCGGTCCAATTTCACCTCTCCGTAAGTTGTGATATCCTCTTCTACTCGGTTTTACATTAATAGAGTTCTTTGCAGCGTGCAGGAAGGAATGGTCTTCGTCTCCATGTCTTCTGATCACCTCTTGACGAGGACAGCACAATACCAAATCCAATACTCGCCTTCTAGGCGCGTGGAGAGGGAGACACAACCCCTGACACCTATTGTATCTATTAGATACAATGATGACGGGAGTACTGTGGCCCATTCACAGAACCCTATGACCCATGCGCAGATTCGAGCGAGACGACTGTATAACATTGGTATGGACGATGAATACAATAGTGTTCGAGTCGCGCAGATTCCTTCCGAGTTTAACGTCTCACCACCCCCTTTCCGAGTCACCACTGAGTGCAGCGATGACGAGACGGATGATCCAATCCCTAGGGGGAATTGGCGACCACCCAATAGGATTGGTTCGTTGCCATTCGAGAGT